CATTTCCCATTTGCCCCCTGCCAGGATACCAAAATCTGCAGGTGCTCGAGTCCCTTCTATAAAATGGTGCAGTATTTGCATATAACCCACACACATCCTTCTGTATACTTTAAACCAGCTCTAAATTACTTACAATTCAAAGTAAATGCTGTGTAAATAGAAATAAATACAGTGTAAATTATATGTAAATAGTTGCCTGTGCACAGCAAATTCAAGTTTAACTTTTTGAAACTTTCTGGAATCTTTTTTTTTTTTTTGCGGTACGCGGGCCTCTCACTGTTGTGGGCTCTCCCGTTGCGGAGCACAGGCTCCGGACGCGCAGGCTCAGCGGCCATGGCGCACGGTCCCAGCCGCTCCGCAGCATGTGGGATCTTCCCGGACCGAGGCACGAACCCGTGTCCCCTGCATCGGCAGGCGGACTCTCAACCACTGCGCCACCAGGGAAGCCCTGGAATCTTCTTTTTTTTTTTTTAATATTTTTGATCTGCAGTTGGTTGAATCTGTGGATGTGGAACCTGTGGATAGGGAGAGCCACAGAGCCTAAGCGCCTGATGTATGTTCCTCCCCCAACTGCCTGCGGCATCGGTGGAACAACAAAGAAACCAAGTATACCAGAACCAGGAAGAGAAGCCCCTTCCTCTTTCAGTTTCCCTCCAGCACCCTCTACTGGCAATGTTTAACATGGTGCCAGTGGTGAAGGAGAAATCCTTACAGTTTAGTTCCATTAACACAGAGGAAGCACAAAAGGTGAATTTGGAGCTGAGAGGCAATAAGTTGATAACTGACATGTGGATGATGTACAGCGTTCATGTGATCAACTGGGTGTTATCACAGTCTGTAGAAGAACATTGATTGAGAGTCTGTTGGATACTGGGCACTGTGGCATGTGCTAAGGGTATAATGAGGAACATGATAGACCAAAATATCTGCCCTCCTGGAGTTTGCATATGGGATTGGGGCAGGCATAGATTGCCTGACAATAAATAAGTAAACAACCAAAAAACTACAGATAACAATCAGTGCTATGATGAAAGTAAACAGGGGACTATAATAGAAACTAAGAAGGGGTCCTTTTAGAATGGGCTGACAGGGGAGACCTCTCCCAGGAGGTGACAAAAATTATGAATGACTTTGAAATGGGCAAAAAAGATCACTAGGTCTCTTGTCTGGGGCACCTTTCAAGTTATTCTCTGCCTGTCATTATCTTTAAACTATTTTACAGCTCTGTAAATTGTAGATAAATGATGCAATGCAAAGGAATGTTAACTATGCACATGTAAGTGGATTTTTCCTGTGAAAGTGAAATTGATTTCCCTCCCCCAACCCCTCTGTAGAAGTGTTTTGCATATATTAAGCAAATTTACTTTTAGCATTCCTGATGGCCTACATGTATAACTGCTCTTTGGAATCTCCTTTTATTTCATTGTAACATCGTACTGGCTCCCTAATTAATTAACAAGTTTAGTGAAATCTTTGACATGTGTTCATTTTATATTCATATGAGAATGACATTAAAATAATGACGATCCTGGGGGGAAGGCAAAATGGGTAAAGGGGGTCAACTGTATGGTGATGGATGGAAACTAAACTTTTGGTGGTGAGCACACTGTAGCATATACAGAAGTCAAAATATAACATTATACACGTGAAACTCATGTAATGTTATAAACCAATGTTACTTCAATTTAAAAAAAGATCCCTTAACACATTTAAATTCAATCCCCCCAAAGACTCCAGTGCTGGGGGGGTCACTCAGCCAGGGACTATTAGCCTAATATTCACATCACATCAAGACTGAGGGAGCTGATCACACTGTCTACTCCTTCATTATTTGTGTGTTGATAACACACGCCCAAAATCACCTCTACAAGACAGGGTCAAGGGAGAACACAGCCTTGCAATTTAGAGGCTGACACAGTTTTATCAAGGGTGCTCATGAAATCAAAGAGATATTGATTTTTCTAACATTGTGGGCAGTTAAAAGAACGTTTAATAGGACTCTTCATATATATTTTTGAGCCCATGACAGGGCTGTGCTTATAGAATCCTAGAATTTTAAAATAGTATAGCAAACTTAGAAATCTAGTTCAATCCCCCCATTTTACATATGAATTAAGCAAGCCAGGAAAGCCTAGATGACTAGCTCAAGATCATTAACTAATTAACGGCGAGCTCAGATATAACCCAGTGTCTTCCTTAGTCCCATACTCTTTCTACCACCAGGATGTTGGAGCCAACCAGAATTTCACAAGAGATTCCCAGCAATGCTCCCCATCCCTTCTTTCCTTCTTCATACATATACACTCACTCTGAAAAAGAAAGGGAGTGGTGGTGTCAGAGATGGTATGTGATAAGGAAAGAGCTTTGGGCTCAGAAACAGTCTTGGTTTTTCATCTGGTTTTACTACGTATTTGTATTTCTGAGCTTTAGCGTCTTCATCTGCAAAGTGGGCACAAATAATAAGCTGCCTTATAAGATTATTCTGAGGGTTAATAATAACCTATATAAAGTGCCTGGCATATAGTCGGTGCTCAATAAGTCATAACTTTTATTAAATGCTTACAAAAATATATTAAAGAACAACCTACATGCCATAAAAAACCTTTACTCTTTGAGGAATGCACAGTTGACAGTACTGACATTTTCATAATAAGTTAGTACTTTCATGTGTAAATGAAAGTTATACACCCACCCACATACAGCCGTCTGTTAAAAAAAAAAACATCTATTGAATGGACAACTGGCAAACATAAGGCAACTCCACACAAATCAATATTCTCTCTCTACCTCCCACTGTTACACTTAGATGCTTAAAATAATTCTTACGTCTCTAGACAAAATCTTACTTTTTTGTTTTTGTTTTAATATTTATTTATTTATTTGTCTGTGCTGGGTCTCAGTTGCGGCATGCAGGATCTTTAGTTGTGGCATGTGGGATCTCTTTTAGTTGCAGCATGCGAGCTCTTAGTTGTGGCATGCAGGATCTAATTCCCTGACCAGGAATTGACTCCAGGTCCCCTGCATTGGGAGCACAGAGTCTTAACCACTGGACCACCAGGTTAAGTCCCAGAATCCGCTTACTTTCAAACTGCCTAAAATGAAACATGAACTAGAAACACTGTATTTTTACAAGTACAATAGGCCCTGGAGTATGAGGCAATCCAAATGAGTGCACAGCTCTGTTTGCCACATCCTCTGCAAAAGTGATGGGACCCTGGGTGTGGTAATTAACCGAGGCTCATCCCCACTGATAAAAATAACTGTTTAATACTTCATCGTGAACAACAGGTTTTCATATACTATATAATTTTAAATGTTAAGAAACTAAAAAGAAGATGCTACGCCCTCCCTACGGCAACGAAAGCAAGGTTAGGGAAGACTATCCAGACATATTGGCTCACTGGAGGACTAAATTTACATTACAGCTGTATTAGTTTGCTAGAGCTGCTGTAGTGATGTACCACAAAATGAGTGGCTTAGAACAACAGGAATTTATCGTCTCACAGTTCTGGAGGCCGGAAGTCTGAAATCAAAGTGTTGGCAGGGCCATTCTCCCTCTGAAGGCACTAGGGAAGGATCTGTTCCAGGCCACTCTCCTAGCTTCGAGTAGGTTCTTGGTTTGTGGCAGCATAACTCCAATCTTCACATGGCCTTCTCTCTGTGTGGGGGTCTGTGTTGCATCCAAATTTCCCCCTTTTTAAGATACCAGTCATTGGATTTGGTCCCCTAATGACCTCATCTGCAAAGATCTTATTGCCAAATAAGGTCACATTCACAGGTACTAGGGCTTATATGAATTTTAGAGGTACACAACTCAATCTATAACAACCACCTCAAAGGTGGTTGTAGCGAGCAGCAGATTCTAAAGAAGAGCATTTTATAGAGGGAAAAATAGAACATATAAAGGTTAAGAGACAGATTGTGAACTCTGTGAGGGCTGAGATATTTGTCTCTTTCTCCCTTGTATCTGCAGCACTTCGAACAGTGCCAGTTTCATTCAGTAAGTGATTGTTGAATGAATATAAGGTCATTGCATGTCTAAGGAATGGCATGGCCTTAAGTTCATTGTCCCCAGAAAGGTAGGCAAAGACCCTATTACGAAGAGCCTTGCAAACCACACTAAGTGTAAGAAACTAGGGCTGACATGTTGACGATATTAAGGAATTCCACGGATGCCTGGCACCCGCCAGTTACTCCTCTTCCCCAGAGCACGTGCAAGGGTGCCATGCCGCGAGGGCCACAAGATGAAGGGCGCCAGCTCTACACACTCCAAAGTAGAGCTGGGTTCTCCAGCTAAAGCTGGATGGAAGCACATGGTTTGGGCTCCAAGTCTACGTGGAGCCTCCTACTTTGCTCTTTCCAACCCATCCTGCCCTCACTCCCCGCCCGGCTGGCCCGCCGACTCCTGGAAGACACCAGGCAGTCTCCAGGGCTCCGTGAACCCCACGGGAGAAATCCCGCAGCGCGCTCCAACCCCCCGGCCCCGCCCTCCTTCCCACTGGAATGCAGCGAGAGCGCAAGCGCGCCTTCCAGAGCAGAGCGCGCGCTCGCGAGCTCCCCGCATACCCGTGCTCATCCGGGTCTCGGCGAACCTCAGCCAATGGTGAACGTTCACGGCCCTCGAGGGCGGGGCTAAGCCTTCCCTCACATGGGGCCTCTGCTCACAGTGGGCGCTTCCAGGCAACACCAACCATTCAGCCGAGAAAAGGCGCAGAGGCAGAATGCCTAGCGTCTGGGCGAGGATAGACGGTTTTGAGATGGAGCAGCTGTCGCCCCGTAGAAGCGACTGAAGTGCAAGCAGATTCCCCAGAGCCGCTGTAGTAAACACACTTCAGAAACGTGAGGTGCCGGTAGTCACGTGGGGAGTGCCCCCTCCAATGAGGAGCCGAGGGCGGGGCCGAGGCCGCTGACGCGGCGGTGGCGGCGGAGTCACCCGGCCAGCCTCGGGACCGGTCACCGGCCGGCAACCGTCCAGCGGCCTCGACCACCGCCTCCGTGCTCCGTCCTCACTCCTCTCTCCCGGGCCGAGAGGCAGCGTGGCCGACAGTGGCTAAATTCTCTCTCATTCCTGTCGGCGGCTCGCCTCAGGCGGGCCGTCTGCTCCTCGGGGGCCGCCTCGGTGGGGCTAGGTTTCCGTGACGAACCTCCTGGGGCTGCCCGCGCCCGCTCGGGCCGTCGTGTCGGCTCGATTTTGTTGAACTTGCTCACCCTCCGCCGGTCCGGGGACCTCGAAGTTATGCGTCTCGTCCAGGAGGTGGCGGCCGGTGCCGGCTCCTAAAGGCGTCACACCCGGACTCCGCTGACTGGGCAACCTCCATTCATCTTCCAGCTGCGCCGCCAGCGCCCTCTCCCTCTCCCGTCCCCTCCTCGGACTCATTTTTTCCTTCCCTCCCCTCTGCCGCCCTTTCCTCACTCCTTGGGTGCGGCGATTCTCCTGCGACCGGAGGTGTCGGTTATGAGCCGGACGCCCCTGCCCTGAATTTCTCCGCGGAGGAGCTCGGCGGCTCCCCGCCACCCGCCGCGTCCCCGGGATGGGGGTGAATGCTGTGCACTGGTTCCGAAAGGGGCTTCGGCTTCACGACAATCCTGCCCTGAAGGAGTGTATTCAGGGCGCCGACACCATCCGCTGCGTCTACATCCTCGACCCCTGGTTCGCCGGCTCCTCCAATGTTGGCATCAACAGGTGGCGGTGAGTCAAAATCCCGTGGGAAATTGGTTTCGCTGTTTGCTGAATCAAGACTTCACATGCGATCGGCCAGACCTGAGAATTTAGACTTGGCACCGGCTTGCCTATGCCGTTTTAATTACTGCAGGTGCTTTAAGTATTAAATAGAACGGATTTAATAGTCCTCTGGACAGAGAGTGCTGTGCTGGCAGCCTGGAACACCTTGGCCTTAAGGTGTGAGTTCCGTGGCTCTGCACTAATGGGAACTCTTCCCCTGGATTTATGGAGTGCTTAGTGCTGGAGTTAAAGAAACACCCGTCCAGTTCTCAGTGGCCCGTGGGTTGATTTCCTTGGCCTCTTTGTGGCGTTTGAAGGGATTGCGGTTTTTAATGTTTACGTTTGTGTGTGTCTAGTTAACTCATAGTATGGAGAAAATCATTCATTCAGTAGAGTCGCCTCCAAATCCGGTTTTCTTCCACCATGAGGTTGCCACAGGCAAAGCAAGGGAAACATTTCTCTTTGCTCGGCTCTCCCTCTCCACTCCTCCTTGTGGTTGACTAGACAAGCACAGTTTTTCTTTCTAGGCAATGTATAATCCTTCTAGGATTCAGAGCACTGGAAGAAATCTTAGAGAAGCTTTATGATCTTTTCCTGAAACGCCAGGCTAGAGGATTGTTAGGCCCCCTGGTGGAAATGAAACCGTTCTTTCAACAGATTATTGATCACCTACTGTATACCAGGCACTGCTTTAAACACTAGGGATATGGTAGTGAATGAAACAGATAGAACTTCTTGTGCTTTTCAAGCACATGTCCCAGAAAGCATATAGTATTTAGTGGCGATAAAGGATTTGCAGAAATAGAGATAAAAGGGATGAAAAATACAAGGAGTCGGGGTTGGAGTAGCAGTTTAAAATATGGTGATAGGGAAAAACTCAGAGAAAGTCACAGTTGAGCAAGACGATGAAGCAAGTAATGGATTACAGATATCTAGGGAAAAGCATTCCAGGGAGAAGGAACAGTAGGAGAAAAGGACCTGAGGTGGAAATATGCTTAACCTTTGGAAGGAACAGCAGAAGAAACCAATATGGCTGGAGCAGAATACGTGAGAGGAAAAGTAGTAGATGAGGTCAGAGATGTAATAGGGCCAGATTGAGTAGAGCTTTATAGGCAGTTGTCACGATTTGGGCTTTTACTCACAGCAAAGTGGGAATAATTGTAGGATTATGAGCAGAGAAGTGATGTGATTTGATGTAAGTTTTAAAAAAACTTCTCTGGCTGCGGTTCTGAGAACAGACTCAAATTGTGGGATGGAGGTGGACAAAAAGCAGTAAGACCAGTTAGGAGTCCATTGCATTCATCCAGGTGAGATATGATAATGACTTGGACCATAGTGATTGTGGTGGACGTGGTGACAAGTAGTCAAGTGCTGAGTATATTTTGAAGGCAGGATTCACAGAATTTATTGACAGATTGGATATATGGTGTGAGAGAAAGAGAAGGAATTAGGAATGATTTCAAAATTTGACTTGAGAAACTAGAAGGATGGAACTGCTCTTTGCTAAGTGGTCAGTTGAAGAAGCCATTGAGAGGGTGATTTGAGTTCTCTTTTGAACTTGGTTAAGTTTGAAATGTTTATTACACATCCAGGTAGAGATAGCAGATAGGTAGTTGGATATATCTGGAGTTAAGGACAGAGATCCAGGCAGGAGATATAAATTAGGGAGTCATCACTTTATAGGTACCTTTTAAAGCCATTTATTAATCCGTTCAGTCATTGAACAGGTATATGGCATGCATGTACTACATGTCAGACACTTTTAGGTGCAGGGCATCCAGTATAAACAAAAAAGCTAAAAATTCCCTATCTTGTTGAAGCACATTCTGGTAGAGCCATGAGACTATATGAGAACATTAAGAAAATGAGTATAGATAGAGAAGAGAGGCGGTCCAAGAACTGAGCCTTGGGTACTCAAATGTGTTGAAATTGTGGACCTGTGGAAGAACCAGCATAGGAGTTAGAGAAGGAACATCTAGGAAGATAAGAAAACCCAGAAGAGTATGGTGTCTTGGAAGCCAAGCAAAGGAGAGAGAGTGTTTCAAAGAAAGTGTTTTACCTTTGTCAAGTTGCTGGCCAAGTGAGATGAGGACTGAAAATTAAAAATCATATTTAGCATTTGAGATCATTCATAATCATGACTAAAGTGGTTCCAGTAGTGTCAGAGACAAAAGCCTTTTGGGAATGGCTAGCTCTTTTTTTTTTTTTTTTTTTTTGTGGTACGCGGGCCTCTCACTGTTGTGGCCTCTCCCGTTGCGGAGCACAGGCTCAGTGGCCATGGCGCATGGGCCCAGCCGCCTTTTGGGAATGGCTAGCTCTTCTAAGAAGTTTTCCTCTAGGGGGATCAGAGAAATGGTGTAGTTCCTGGGGGAGAACATGAAGTCAAGAGAGGATTTTTTTTTTTTTTAAGATGGGAGAAATTACAGCATGTTTGTGTACTGATGGGAATTATATAGCAACTCTATATAAAACACTTTCCTTAGCAGAGTTGGTGTCAAAGTTGATTCTGGAAAAAGATAATAAATGTTATATATTTTAATCTATTAATATCTTAACAATATAGTAATGATTCCCTCTTCATAAGATTGTTAGGAGGATTGTTAGGAGGATTGTTAGGAGGATTAGTTTAAAAATGTTAAATGCGGGCTTCCCTGGTGGCGCAGTGGTTGAGAGTCCGCCTGCCGATGCAGGGGACACGGGTTCGTGCCCCGGTCCGGGAAGATCCCACATGCCGCGGAGCCTGCGCGTCTGGAGCCTGTGCTCTGCAACGGGAGAGGCCACAACAGTGAGAGGCCCGCATACCGAAAAAAAAAAAAAAAAAAGTTAAATGCTTAAAATGTGAGTGGTAGTAGTAAGTGCTTATTTGCTATTTGCTCTTAAATTGGAAGTCCTAGGTAAATAATATCTAGTTAAATGCCTACAGTCAGTTTCTTCTAGAGTACTTTATAAGTTTATAAAACCTAAACTATAAAATTCTGTAGATTAGGGGTTATATATTGCTTTACTTTGTACATCCAACAACTCACATTGTTAAATAATGAGTGAAATAAAACTCGTAAGCATAATAGGAATAGTCCCATATTTTCCTTTTTAAAAAGGATTTTTTTAAACTACTAAATATTGCCCTTGATGAGTAACAGATAAAGATGTAAATAATGAAGAGAGACAGACTGTTTTCTTCCACTGAAGTGTGTTATAAAATGGAGGGAGAGATTTTATTTAATTTGTTCTCATAGCACCAACTACAGTGCTTTTCATATAGTAGTAACTCAGTTAATGTTTGTTAATGAAGTGACTTCCAGGAGTCAATAATTTTATGTTTAAACAACTTTATTAATTTACTCATTGACCGTACAATAAGGTGCAAATTCCTTAGCTTGGCATTCAGGCTGTCTTGTGGGTTTCTGTCTTCTTTCCTTTGTGCCATTTCCTTTAATCAACAGTATTTCCTAGATTTTTGGATTTAACAGAAAAACAAATTTTTAAAAATTTATTTTGCCTAAGTAAATTAACAGAACCACCTTTTGATGTTGCCATCATTTCATTTAAGCAACTAGAGAAAGAAGAACAAACAAAACCCAAAGTTAGCAGAAGGGATGAAATCATAAAGATCAGAGCAGAAATAAATGAAATAGAGACTAAGAAAACAGTAGAAAAGATCAATGAAACTAAAAGCTGGTTCTTTGACAAGATAAAATTAATGAACCTTTAGCCAGACTCATCAAGAAAAAAAAGGGAGAGGGCCCAAATCAATAAAATTAGAAATGAAAAAGGAGAAGTTACAATGGACACCACAGAAATACAGAGGACCATAAGAGACTACTACAGCCAACTATATGCCAATAAAATGGACAACCTAGAAGAAATGAACAAATTATTAGTAAGGTGCAATCTCCTAAGACTGAACCAGGAAGAAATAGAAAATATGAACAGACCAATTACAAGTACTGAAATTCAATCGGTGATTAAATAACTCCCAACAAACAAAAGTCCAGGACCAGATGGCTTTACAGGTGAATTTTACCAAACATTTAGAGAAGAGTTAACACCTGTCTTTCTGAAACTATTCCAAAAAACTGCAGAGGAAGGAACACTTCCAAACTCATTCTATGAGGCCACCATCACCCTAATACCAAAATCAGAAAAAGATACCATACACACAAAAAAATTACAGGCCAATATCACTGATGAACATAGATGCAAAAGTCCTCAACAAAATACTAGCAAACTGAATCCAGTCGTACATTAAAAGGATCATACATCATGATCAAGTGAGATTTATCCCAGGGATGCACAGATTTTTCAGTATCCACAAATCAATCAGTATGATACACCACATCAACAAATTGAAGAATAAAATCCATATGATCATCTCTGTAGATGCAGAAAAAGCTTTTGATAAAATTCAACATCCAGTTATGATAAAAACTCTCCAGAAAGTGGGCATAGAGGGAATATACCTCAACATACTAAAGGCCGTATATGACAGACCCACAGCTAACATAATCAATGGTGAAAGGCTGAAAACATTTCCTCTAAGATTAGGAAAAAGACAAGGATGTCCACTCTTGCCACTTTTATTCAACGTGGTTTTGGAAGTCCTAGCCACAGCGATCAGAGGGGAAAAAAGAAATAAAAGGGAGCCAAATTGGGACAAAATAAGTAAAACTGTCATGTCACTGTTTGTGGATGACATGATACTATACATAGAAAATCCTGAAGATGCCACCAGAAAAATACTAGAGCTTATCAATGAATTTGGTAAAGTTGCAGGATACAAAATTAATATGCAGAAATCTGTTGCATTTCTATACGGTAACAATGAAAGATCAGAAAGAGAAATTAAGGAAACAATTGAATTCACCATCACATCAAAAAGAATAAAATACCTAGGAATAAATTGACCTAAGGAGGCAAAAGACCTGTACTCCAAAAACTGTAAGACCCTGATGAAAGAAATTGAAGAT